TGATTGTTATTGTTATAACTCTGTGTTACACAACAATATGATTACCGTAACTCAACGAAAAATCACTTATTTTCACACATTCGTTACGGTGGAATACTTGTATAGATCACAGTGATGTCGTTGTTTTATTATTGCTATATAATTAAAGGCACCCTTAACAATAATATAGAACATCGCGGCTGTATGACAATTACCGAGGTAAATGAGGAAGAGGAGAAAATATACATCAGTGCACACTCATGATATGAGATGACATATGCTTCGGATTATTAAAGAATAGCCTATTTCCAATGCATTGAAACATATGGGACATAATTTGCAAAATGGCTGCACATGAAAAACCGTAAAAACAAAATGAGAATTAATTATAACACGTTTACGTTGTAATTTGTCGACCCAGGATCAGCTGCCAAGTGCTTCTCCGCTCCGCTGAGGATGATCAGTGCTGGTCGTAACGAATACGAAACGATGGGAGAGTTGAGCTATACATCGTTATTATCGCAGTAAATATGTCTCAATGCCTAGTGTAACTAATATAAATAGTATACGAAATGATGGGCATGTTGAAATAGTCATCGCTTTTATCGTTTTCATGCATGTGATATGTGAAGACAATGGTTATCTTGAACAGATACTTATTAACCCCGTGTGAGCTTCATGAGAGGCTGCACGTATGAAATGAATTTATATGTGTAAATTATCGGCAAAAGGTCAGCACGCGTGTAATGTGATGGCACTGTTATTACTGTTAGATCCTATCCGAAGTCATAAGGATGCTTGCTGGTATCCATTTGTAAACACGTGAACCATCTCCGTGTATGAGAGTGTTCTTGCGACTGATGATATAAAGCGGGGGCACAGAAAATAATACTGTAACACTATAACTAAAATCTTCAAACTTACGGCGCAATATATCCAACAAAAGAGAAGGTATTATCCATTTTACGACTTGTGGTATATTGCTCACGACAAAGGGAAATATGTAAATGCGTTTTTCGATTTGCGAAACACAAACAATATATTATTACTTTTACATTCCAGATAACTACTTTATGCATATGAGGTTACACAGGTCTACAAGTCAAACACTGTAAACTTCTGTATGCCAAACTGCATACGGAGAGTAGTTCCCTATATGGCAACACAGTTATATAATGTATGAATTGAACAGTTAGATCACAATTAACAAAGACTTTTTATGCCTATCTTAGAAAAACGTTGATACTTTAACGTAAAATGCTAACGTACATCTAGTCGTTTGTAATAATCCTCGGATCAGGCAACATAACTGGTTCTAGCGACAGTCGATGAACAGCTTCTACTGTCCGCATTTTCCGCAGTGAATATAATTAGAAGATGTAGGTTAGATATACGCCATGATATCCCATGTAATTTAGCACATGTCTATCGGCCGAAACTGCAAATATACACAAAGAAAAAAGTTAAGCACACCCTAATATATCTTATTATTGTTTGGTCCCAATATTTGTAACAGTCATGGAAGATATAATTACGGGAAGAATTTATTTTCTCGAGATAATGTAATCAGTCATGCGTGACGACAGATCGCATGGTATGCCCGTACAGCATGCTACCTCGAATCTCTTGAAGCAGTATATCCAATCGTTAAAATTGCTTTCTTAAGCTCGGTTTTCAACAGTTATTCCATAACATTGTGTGACCATGGCACGAAGGCGATTATCAGACGCAACACGATGGCAAATTATCGGCATGCATAACGCTGTAATGTCTTGTAATTTCATTGGTCGGAATTTGGGGTATCATCACACTGTCGTAAGCCGTTTAGTCGAGAAACATGCTCAGACTGGTGATGTGCAGGAACGTCCCAGATCCGTAAGACCTCCTGTGACGACACATTGTGAAGACAGGGGCCTTCTTCTTCTCATACGGCGAGAACCCACTTTAACAAGTACTCGTCTGAAACAGCTGTGGTTGCCCAATCGTCGTTGCAGCACAAGAAGGACCGAGGGGCTAGATGAGTCCCTTATTGAGAGATCACAAAAAAACTGCTCGTTTAGCATGATGTATTGCGCGACAGATCTGGAATCTGAAAACTCTCATGATTGCATGTTGGATGTGGTCACCAGAAGGGGCAACTTAACCGGGGATCAGTACATCCGGGACGTTTTGAGGCCAGTCGTCGTTCATCATTTTGACAACCACCCTCTTGCTACTCGACCTCAGTACATGGATGACAATGCCAGGCCTCATCGTTCATATGCAGTCGTGGATAACATGAGGGCAAATGCAATAACGACTCCACCCTGGCCAGCAATGAGCCCAGATTTAAACCCCTTAGAACATGTTTGGCATATTCTGGGTCTACGCATACATGGCACGAGATCCTCCTGTACAAGATTTACGCCAATTGGAAGCAGCATTGCATCAGGAGTGGTTGTTGTTGACCCATCAACAGATCCATTGTCTAACTGACCTGTGAAAATCCGGGGTAGAATAGATCTTCAGCAACCCATGCTTGCCGTAAAGGGCGACTATGCTTGTCGTAAAAGGGAACGGGATCGGGTGGTCAGGCTCGCTGACTTGGTTGATGCATGTCATCGATCCCAATTGCGTGGATCGATGATCATGATATTAATCACTGGATTGTCTGGTCCAGACTCGATTATTTACAGACCGCCGTCATATAGCTGGAACATTGCTGAGTGCGGCGTTAAACAACAAACCAACCAACCAACCATTGTCTGACTGGAGGCATAAGACGTAGGGTGGAATGCGTCATCCGGGCACGTGGCGGTTATACCCGCAACTGATCTGTTTCACGTGTCGTGTCAAGGAGAGACTTTAACGAAAATTTTCACATGAAACAGCAAACATAACTCGTGTTCTTAATCCTGCAGCTCCATGCTTTTTTTAGGTATTATCTGAGGTCAAAAACAGTACCTGTGTTACCATGATGTTTGTGTCAGTACATTTTAATCACAACTCACTAATATCTTCTTTATTTGTTGTCAAACCTATCCGATGACATTGGTATCGCCCAGCTCCTGTGGTCAGTCATCCCATGCCTTGATTTTTGCCATTTGTCATGGTTTAGAAATAGGGGTGTGTATGGTTATCGTTCTATATGGCTGACATGTTGCGAAGTATACCGTTAACTCACTTGCTACACATCATTAATTTGTCTGTAACTTCACACTATTTAAAGTTAATGAACTCCGCCCTGCCCAACCCGTCTTGGGTCTAACACTTGTGCGTTGTTACCCAGTGTCCGTATGTTCTAAACACATAGCACGGCCTTGTTAACACTGACCATAACGCACACGAATATAGCGTCATATGAGCAACCAGTGCTGTGTATATACCCTCACTCAGGACACCATTGTTCAATATTATTCCGAGTAGATGCTGGAAATTTGTGAATAAGGACGACTGTGGGAGAAAATTGTGGGACACCTTTGTGTTTTGTTTATTTGTTCGTTTTTCCTGGTGTTTAAGGCAATACATTACATACATTCAACTAAGTCACCGAGGCTGCGAACTCGATCCATTACTCGCCTCTTAATACAGGCATGGCTTACTGGGGACCTATCTTCTTAATCGAACACTACTGGGTTACGGTCAAAGTTTATTCCCTGAGTCGCTGACTCGCCGACTTTAAGACACCGAAGTTTCTTCTATCTGCCATTTTATTACGCCATGCAAGATACTTTGTTTCTCTTAGGAAACATCCCCACAGACTGATGGAAGTTGACTATTGTGCGAAAAAATCGATTTATGGAAACCATAAACTTTTCATCAAGCACAACATTAAACAAAAATCAATCTGAGAAGCTGTCGTCCTCTGAGTATTAACATTCAGAATACTAGTGTAGGTAATGGAGTGAAATTTGATTATTGTGAGACTAAAGTCCTCAGTGTTGCCGATACATGACATGAAAGTGCTCCACGCAATGGAAGTTCCTATCCAAGATCTCCTAATGGTTATTGTGCGGGTCTGCGATAGATAACGTGTGGGCCCCGGCTTTTTCCAACAGAGTTTTCGTATATAGCCCACAGAAATTTGAGTCAAATGAATATATATATATATATTGAAGTCACAATTCTGTAGGTATATATATATACCCACAGAATTGCGACTTCAATGAACACAGAATTGTGGATTAATTTACCCTTTCTATTTGCCATAAAATTGTGAGTTAGATGCCGCTATCCCTTTGCAACATGATTGTGAGTTAAATTACCCTTTATTTTTGCCACAGAACTGTGATTTTAATGACCCGATTTTAGCAATATTCCAGCAATGTGACTGACGGCTGGAGGACACCAGAAATGGGCTTCATACATTGTACTCATATGGGGAGTCGAACCCGGGCCTTCGGCGTGACGAGCGAACGCTTTAACCTGTAGGCAACCAACCCCATCATCCCTGCTTTGATTGAACGCAATAGAGCATGCTGAACTGTTTCAGTAATCATTGGGAGGAGCCATGAACATTTATAAAAAAGCGAGGGAGGGATGCAGGGGTAATTACTTTCAAAACGATAAAATGGTTTCCTTTTCATCATCATTGAAAAAATCATGTGTGGCCATTTGTTAATTAGACTTATAGTGAAGGCTTGAACCCCGTGGATATGAGTTTCACGTAGCCGACTGACATTTACAACTTGTACTTGTCACTTAATTAAATATTGTGATTCTTGATTTGATCTTGGCACTTTGATCATGGTTTTTTTTCATTTTGAAATATAGACTTAATCTCATTATTATCTTGGCCAGACTTGTAGTTTTGTCTAACAATACAGAGTTTCCAGTTTGAGCACCTGGTGTCATCATTAGTTTTCAGAGATCCATTCAATTAATTCTCCTCGCTATTTTTCCCTTTTGTGCGCACAATGGAATCTGGCAGATAATTCGAGTCCGGTTATTCTCTGGCGTGGATGTTTTATTTTGTCATTTTAAATTCTGAAATTTTGAAAATTGAAGGATGTATTTCAATGATTTTAATCCTCTACTTGCAGCATTTTCTGGTGTATCGTTGTCATGGTGATGGCTATTTTGCTTGTGACCGTCATCTACTGCCAGATGTCCGATTTCTACCGTTATCCTACCGTCACTAGCGTCAACGTCAGATACGTCGACGAGGAGGACTTCCCTGCCGTCACCATTTGTGATCTAAACGTCTTTAACAAAGAGTTTATGGATAAAATGGATAAACACACACAAATGGCAATGCCTTACCTAACTGAAATATCCGGAATATTTCATCTTGTTGGGAAGATATTGTTGGACAAGATACTGCAAAATGAAGGAATGCCACCATCGAATAAAACTGCAGATGACATTGTGGATGCATTATTAAGAGACGTAGAAAAAATGGTGGTTGAATCGGGATTAAAGTGTGCATGGGGGGATTACTATTGGGAAGACTGTGGGGACGCCTTGACCACACGGATTACAGAAATGGGTCTGTGTTTCACAATAAATACTCGGAACCTTACTCGTCGAAGTAACGGACACAAAATGAACGCGGTGAGCAACTCCTTGCGTGGCCTGAGTGCTCTTGTTACAACAGTCAGGAGTGATATACCATATCGTCTATACCAGTTTGAAGGATTCAAGGTAAGTTTCGTTACACGTTATTGAACATTTTTACGAAACCATTGCTATATCAAAGAAACGCAGCTCCAGGTGATTACATCATTGCCTCCAATTTACTCGTGTACTGATTTTTTCTTTCGCTTAATGGATATGAAATTACGACATGCATTAGCCTTGTCGCCTTTATTTTAGTTATCGGTTCGACAGAACGTTAACATTTCTTTACCGTTATTATAGAATGAATGAAGATGAGTTGACATTGATTTCATTTCTTTTTAAATTCGATGCGTCGTTTAGATACAGATGCCAGTACAATTATCAGTATCCATTGTCCATTAACAGTTTTACGAATTAACTTTGAAACCAAACTCAACTGCTTGAGGACAACTCAGTCCCTTTTAAATCTGCAGGCAATTTAGCTCTACATTGAAATCCCAGCAGATTCATATCGTAACTGCAAACATGTTGGTGACACACTGTTAACTCGACATTATTCAGTCCATATACAATGTGCGATGATGGAACTTGACTGTCCTGGTAGATTGGTGTCAATCATAAGGTCGGATAACACTACTCAACTTTTCTCAAACGTCGGATAACTCGATGATCAATATTAAACCACAAATGACAGAGACAGACTCATGTTTATATAAATGTGCAGTCCACGTAAATAATCAGACAAAAGTGTCGAAGGCAGTGCCAGGCACCACTTAAGTGTTGATTAAGAGCCTCCTTTCCACGAACAGCGAGATTAGCTGATGTACTAGTAAGTTCTGCATTAAGAGATCAATTGTTGAAAGATCAAACACGTCTGTCTCAATAGTAGATTTTACAGCATTAAATAACAAGTGTGCATCAGGCTATAGGTGCCGGTAAATCAGTTTAAGTTAGGCCAAACCAGGAAAGCTCTGCCACTGTGTGTACAGCACTGATCCTGTTTGGCCCCACATCATGGAACGTATGTACAACCTTCGCAGTTGACGGACTGACTGAACAGTGTAGGATGTACAAGGAAAGACACAGCGAGAACCCATACATAAAGCCGGTGTCCTGGCTTGAACTAACTTTAGACCAACTAATTCAATTATTCCCCGATGTTGACGGCACGCCGTGTCATTGAGCCTCGGAAAACCAAGTAATCAGTTTACCTGTCAATACACACACAGATATTCAGGTCTTAATGTTGTGTCATAAATTGATGTTGTTTTTAAGCAACACGGGTCGATATGAGCAAATACAGGCAAAGGGACCTTTCATCGCGTCAGTGATTGGTGTCATTGTTGTCAATGGGCAATAGTACCCGATAGCATATCGTGTGCAGGGCGCATCAGAATGGGTCCTGTATCGCGTATAGTGTTTTATACTGCCTACATGCAAATATATTCAGTTATACGCGTATTGTTTAATACAGTGCTGACGACAAGTCACTCACATGGAAAAAACGAAGGTGGTCATATTTGCAGATTTCTGGAGATCATATACGTACCTCTGGTAGCTAGCTTGCATGCATCTATCGATAATAATATTTCAACACGTCAATCAATGCAACGGTGATAACATCTGTTTACTACACTACACTAGTTTCAGCTGTGAAAATGGGAGGCATCGATTGCCGGTGCCGTATTTGATGACGTGCACCCTATGTCTATCAGCGTTATCTATTGTTCATCAAGGGGGTTTATTACAGAAAAATAATTAAAAATTGATTGAAAAAGGATGATTAATATATTTGTTCATGGCGCATTTTGTGTCAAGGAGGTTAACCTCTCTGCTGCCTCACAGGTTCATAATGGATGCAGTTTTTAATCTGCGTCATACAAGAATGTCATAAGCAATAGGTGTGTACATGTTTACGTTGTAAATTATGAATTTTGTGCATTGGTATTTCTGCATAGCATGTTCGCTACATTTGATAAGAATAACGGACAAATATGAACTATAATACGAGTAATTGATATTCTTTACACATGTCAATTCAATAACCATGCACAGAGACTGTGGTCCGTCCTAAACATAATTATTAATTATTTCACGAACAGGGAAACCAGTGTTACATATAGAAAGACTCGAATCAAAGTGAAAACCACACGTGACTTTGGAAGGTTCCTTTGTAATGTGCTGACCTGTACTTTTACTTTATAACAGTGTGAGCCATAACACGATCTTAATATATGTAACTGGGAATATTTCCAATGTACACATTCCTTCGATCAGGGGAACATGTAATAATATTTACAACGACTATAAGCAGAGGAATGCAATCACAGTGATTTCTCTTCGGCAACAACGTGCATATGAACTCACACAACATTGCAGTGGGATAGAAATATCGAATATACACCCAGATGGTAGCCCCATTGGTAATTAGACGATTGGTCTTGCAATCAGCGCCAATGCCCTTCTGAATCAATCACGTTGGGGTTGGGGATTATTTGGTTAATATTTTGGTGGTTTAATATGAATGCGGATCTTTAAATAACTTTTCTCTAGGCCTGTTACCCCTAGAACAGTTACAATTACAGTAGACAACAACAAATGATGTCTCATGTCTCCAGTCCCGTCTGGTCAGAATATCATTTCCAATTTAATTCACATGAATAATGAGACAATTTGTAAACACGTCTACTTTATAATGGCGACGTTCGCTGTATCCCATGGTATGCCCTTCAAGTGATGTATTCGTTAGTGGCAGCCAGTGATTTATGATGCTGGATAATTCATGTGAAAAGCAATAGGTCCATCGTACCCTGTCATGTTGAGATATTCCATACACCGAATGTAACGCTAGATGGACCGGTTTCTCTTTATCTACATATAGGTGGCATACGTTTCATAACCAGATGACAGAGATAAAGAAGACCCTGGAAATGACGTATCGCCATGTGTTTACGCTGCGTATCTGTAACAATTCCTTATTATTTTCTTATTTCCTTTCTATAAATATGGATGCACAATACCCTTATATCTCTGACTGAAGTTGATAAGGTAACACTGTCATAAATAATAGTTGATTATTACAGTAGCTACGCATGTACCGTGGGGATGACCGGAGAGTTGAAATTAATGAAAACACATGATACTGCCAAATTGTCTTTGGAGGAAGAATTCATATTACGCGTTTTGAACGTTTGTAATCTCGTATGTCTGGTATTCATATATAACTTGTACAGCGTAAACCCCGTTAAGCCGGGATAATATGTGGATCACAGTCAGTGAAATATGTTGATTCATAAATAAATCAACTGGACAGGGTCAGATGAATATGTCGAGTAATATATAGATCAACTGGACAGGGTCAGATGAATATGTCGAGTAATATATAGTTCAACTGGACAGGGTCAGATGAATCTGGTGAGTAATATATAGATCAACTGGACAGGGTCAGAGGAATATGTCGAGTAATATATAGATCAACTGGACAGGGTCAGATGAATACGGTGAGTAATATATAGATCAACTGGACAGGGTCAGAGGAATACGGTGAGTAATATATAGATCAACGTGACAGGGTCAGAGGAATATGTCGAGTAATATATAGATCAACTGGACAGGGTCAGAGGAATATGTCGAGTAATATATAGATCAACTGGACAGGGTCAGAGGAATATGTCGAGTAATATATAGATCAACTGGACAGGGTCCGATGAATATGTCGAGTAATATATAGATCAAATGGACAGGGTCAGATGAATATGTCGAGTAATATATAGTTCAACTGGACAGGGTCAGATGAATCTGGTGAGTAATATATAGATCAACTGGACAGGGTCAGAGGAATATGTCGAGTAATATATAGATCAACTGGACAGGGTCAGATGAATACGGTGAGTAATATATAGATCAACTGGACAGGGTCAGAGGAATATGTCGAGTAATATATAGATCAACTGGACAGGGTCAGATGAATACGGTGAGTAATATATAGATCAACTGGACAGGGTCAGAGGAATATGTCGAGTAATATATAGATCAACTGGACAGGGTCAGATGAATACGGTGAGTAATATATAGATCAACGTGACAGGGTCAGAGGAATATGTCGAGTAATATATAGATCAACTGGACAGGGTCAGAGGAATATGTCGAGTAATATATAGATCAACTGGACAGGGTCAGAGGAATATGTCGAGTAATATATAGATCAACTGGACAGGGTCAGAGGAATATGTCGAGTAATATATAGATCAACTGGACAGGGTCCGATGAATATGTCGAGTAATATATAGATCAAATGGACAGGGTCAGATGATTCTGGTGAGTAATATATAGATCAACTTGACAGGGTCAGAGGAGTGAGTGAGTGAATATTGCTTAACGCCGCATCAGCAATTTTGCAGCTATTCGCGGCGAGAAATGTCTTTTGTGTAATCAGATAGCAACCCATAGAATAAAAGTGATGTTGAAAATCACTAAAATCTCAGTCATGTATCACATTCAGAGGTGACAGGGTCAGAGGAATATGTCGAGTAATATATAGATCAACTGGGCAGGGTCAGAGGAATACGGTGAATAATATATAGATCAACTTGAGAGGGTCAGAGGAATATATCGAGTAATATATAGATCAACTGGACAGGGTCACTGGATTATGTCGAGTAATATATAGATAGTGTGTCCAGTGTCACTGGATTATGTCCAGTAATATATGGGTATTGTGGTTAGTGTCACTGGATTATGTCTAGTAATATATGGATAGTGTGGCCAGTGTCACTGGATTATGTCCAGTGATATATAGAGAGCGTGACCAATGTCACTTGGTTATGTCGAGTGATATATAGATAGTGTGGTTAGTGTCACCGGAATATGTCGAGTATTATATAGATTAAGTGGTCAGTGTCAGCGCAAGAGGTCGAATAATACACATATCGAGACAGATGGCGTGTTGGTATATAACGAGTACCCTTATGAGTGAGTGAGTATGATTTTATGCCGATTTTACCAATATTCCAGCAATATCACGGCGGAGATACAATGACATGATTAACCAATTCATCAGGCCTGAATACCCAATCTGAAGACCTAGACCTAATCTTCACCGGTATTATGGGTTAGTGAGTTAGTGTAGCTTTACGCCGCTTTTAGCACCATTCCAGCAATATCAAGGCGGAGGACATCGGAAATGGGCTTCACACATTGTACTCTGGTGGGGAATCGAATCCGGCTCTTCTACGTGACGAGCGAACACTTTAACAACTAGGCTACCCCACCGTTCCGCTACTCATATGACGGAACTACTGCTGTCAGATACACGTGTAAAAGAACAATGCAGGGGAGTTCCATTTAACGATGTTCTGAAGTATGTTCTGTGTGGTTGTTCATACCGAAATTATTCGGTTCCCTCTTTGCCTCTGTTTATATGCATGTGTTTGTTTGATTGATGATCATTATTCATAAGGTTGTGATAGTGCAGAGTTGCTTCCCTTAGGACTACCGGAATCCTGTGATTTTGATATCGCGTCCCGAGATTGTGTTGTTACGCTCTGGTTATGTTTCTAGGGTTTTGGATATCATACTCAGGATTGTGGGCTTCACAAATATTGTAATACTGTTCAAAGTCGAGTTAAACCAAACATTATTACCGAACAATGTCTAATATGCTCATGACATCGTCCATTGTTTTCAGGTTGTTCTCCACGACCATGATGAGGATCCACTGCCCCAGTCCCGGGGATTTGTCGTCGGTGCCAACTGCTCGTCAGAAGTCGAAATCACCAAAACTGTCGTAAGTTCGAACTGAAAGGTGTTCCTTAAGCAAGACATCATGCACATAGTTGATTATCTTTATGTCTTGTCATTTGCCTAAAAAACATGAAACGCTATAAACAACGGTATCCTTAATGCCGTTTCTACACCGCTGGTTGAAGACTTACGATTAAACTATGATATAATTTTAGCAAAAAGAAGAAAATATTTTATGGGAACCACTTGGGAAATCAGAGGCATATCTTGGAGGATTTTTTGTGATTTCTTTAAAAGGGGGTCATATCGTGTATCCATAGCAACACTGGAACTGCATGTCGTGTATTAGGGTTTGACATGTACGTGATGGTAGTATACCTGTGTCTTCTGTGGCAGTTGGGAATCTTATGGTCTTCTTTGTAATTAAACTGAAATTAGTTAACGTTGACCAAATGATCATAGTTAAGGCCATCACGGCTTAAATAGCGCATTGGCATTAATGTGATTGGCGTATTTAGAAACATGTTGCCGAACACATGTATATGCAGCCAAACTATACTAAATAAAGCTGGCATATATATCCCGATATGTAAATGATAGCATTGTTCATCATTCAAATAATTGCAGTTTTATATTCGTTCTACAATGTCGACCTCTTTAGTAGATTGTCGATTCGAATGGATCATCGATGATTGTTTCAGTTCACAATATACCCTATGAATCTATAAAAGTCAAAACGGCATTTCTCACGCGACGCTTTCATGGACATCCGAAACTAGTGACAGTGATGTCTCTTTCGTTTTGAATTAGTTACTCGATCAGTAATTTAAGCTAACAAATCATATCAATATTATGATTAAAGACGATGGAGTTTTGAATATAAATATCATTTGTGTTACTGACTATTTGACATGGTGGAATTGCCCTGAAGTAAAGGGTTACGTTTATTGTACCAATCCCGTACTAAACTTGCGTGACGAATTGCTTATTAAGACGGCTACACACAAAGAATCAAACACATTACAAGAATATTTTCTACGCATTGGTAGTTACATGTTTTTATGTTGGCTTTCAGTGATACAGAATCTCCCTTTATCAACAAAGTATATAGACGATTATATTGTCGGGTGAATTATTTCATATATCCCTGGAAACATTCAGATTTAATATATCTTATTAAACTGCTAGGATAAGAAACTTCAATAGACATACCGATTTATTATTGTTTCATGGTAACCTTGCCGGCGCCATGAGCTGATCTGTGTCTGATATATATCGTCTACGAAACAGGCGAGTCGTGGGTTGAACGCTCAAGCATGGCCGCTTCACACAGTTTGATGAAACCATACAACTATATATGTGTGTTCCATGGGACAATAAATTAACTAATCCGTCAGTTACCATGGTATCGCCCTAGTTTCGAATTCTCGACACTTTACTGAATACATTAGATGTAGACGATGTGTAGATGAAACCAGTTTAAGATACCAGGGCTGACTGGCAGCACTTGTGGTTTTTACACCTGACTTCGTGAGCAATCGGCATCAAGGGACTCTTCCTCCACAGGCCCTGCCAGCAAACCGCCTTCATGCCAATATATTAAAAAAACACTAAGTGCATATTTATGTTGTTCTAAAGGGATTGTGTAATATTTCATTAAATATATTGAGAGATTGTTTCGAGTATTATGTGTGATATATCATCAACAACATTATCCTCAATGGGAAAATAAAAAAAACTATTTTCGACTTAACATCTCCGTATTTGCAGTACATCTGCAATAAGGTGATTGGGGCTTTAAAGATCACAGCTTCGGGAACACCAATCACATTAAGTCAACGTCAGCTCTTCACCTCACAGACAGCTGATCAACTGAGTAATTTGCTTTATAATGACGCCAATGGTTTCTCGCCCTCGCATGACGCCAGCACCACGTGCTAACGCGTTATATTGCTGATATACGTACTCTGCTGAAAGGATAAACGGAAATTCCGTTTTAATGAATTTCTGTAGGAGAAATGTAGCTTATGGCACGGTCTAGGTGAATCTGCTTAACTACTGAAGCTGAAATGTGACATATACCTTCCAGTCACTCAGCACACCACGGTTTGATAGCCGCGATCATGTGGTTAAAAAGATAAAGAAAGTCTTGTATAAAACATCACTTTCTTATAAACCACAAGTCTCAGAAACGTGAAACAGTGTACATATCTGCATTATGAGTGTAGCTTCACTTTTGTTTGCAATATCCTGACTGGCACTCGACGTCAGCTTTGTAGTCGAGGCTTCATAAATTTTCTTGGTTTTGTTTTATGAGCAGCTGACAAACAATATAATATGATGATATCTGTAATAGATATTTGTTAGAACAATGGAATTCAGTCTTGGAAACTTGGAAACTTGGAAACTTGGTACAGTACATTTATACCACGGTATGTTCAGAAAACCAAACACTCACAGGTGATTATTATCACTTTGCTGAACCAACAAGGGAAGGTACATGGACACAAGTCTGCACAACTGCTTCTGACGGTCCCGACAGCCTGTCTGTGAAAATGATGAATGTGGGAGACAGCAGGGACCGTTTGCCAACCTGGTGACTTTTTGACGACATTCCGGAAAGAACTTCTTACGTAAACACAATCATACCATCCACCTGACCAGTATTTATGTATAACAGTTACTGTATATATCTGGATCTACAGCGGGCATTTGGTTAAGATGTTTGATTAACATTTTTGTTGCATAAATCATAAACTGTAAAAACTGGACACATTTTGTTCTTTTCGATAAAACTATTTTCTTAAAACGTTGATTTCTTTCTTAAACCTGTATTGGACGAGACAAAAGATGTATTTTGTTCAACCCTCCGATAATGATGAAGATCATACATTAATCGTTTTAAAGCTTTACCATTATGACACGTCGGAGACATTAAACAACCTTGCACACCCATTATGGGTTCCAGAAATTGTCCCTTGTGAATCAGCCGCTTCACAACGTTCTAACCATCATTGTGCTCTTCGCGTAAGTTCGTGTTTAAATGTAATTGCTTCTTTGAACGCCAATGTTGGTTTGTTCAGTCGAGTCTTTCATCCTACGTGTTGCGATTTTGAAAATCAATATCGTGATTAAATTATTAGTTTTATCTTCCGAGATCACTACAATAGGATTTCAATCTTTTGGAAAAATCTGGTTTGTGATATTGTTGGTATGACATGCTTCTGCATGGGTGACCCACTCGTCAAAGGCGCCGGAAATCGTTATCCAGAGTAACGTCCCTTTGGTACGCCAGAAACCTACACTAGTGGTTTCAAATCCAGGTTCGATCCGATTATGTTTCTCGGTTTGTCAGCACAAAATCTCTGCTCGTGGATTTCACCATGGTGGTAACAATTTCAGACCTGCATCACTTTTGGATTTCCTCCCACATGAAGCTGACACCCTGTGATATAAACGGAATACTGTTCAAAGCGGTCTTAAACACAACTCACTTACTTGTAGTCCTCTTACATGTGTTCATAGCTTCATACACCGGGGACGTTGGATGCGCCGATTCCTAAAAGGTAGTGATTTTTACAATATGATTCATTTTACCTTACGAACTATTTGAACTTGTTTTGTAAATAAACCCGACTATTGCATAAATCATTCCAAACATACTAAAAAATGCAAAAAATACTTATTCTGTAATATGTAAATTTGAAATAGTCTCTTCACAGTTCTGGCGTGTTGCAGAAGTAAATGGCAACAGAAAGGTTATGCTTCATCATGGGTACAAAAATACAACCATCCCAAAAGTGTTTGGAAAATAACATTAACCGACATTTCTTAAGCATGCCTGTACATGGACATCCAGCATTTTAATTTCAAATACGCTGGTCAAGATTAAGAACTGACTAGGTGAGGTGATGTGAAATGGGGTTTAACGTCACGTCCAATATTATTGCACTTATATATATATATTATATTAGTGTGTGGCCGCTTGTACTAGTCCGGACTGATGCCAATTTACAGTGCGAGCCCACATATTTTATCCCCTTAATGTAGAACGCCAGGAAGGGTAACACCAAGTACCATCCTTTTTACGTCTTTTAGTCTTGAACCCCCGACCTTCCGCTCCCCGGGCGCACGCTCTACCACTAGACTACGGGGGCGGTTGAACCGAATAGGACTTGCATCAAATATCAAAGTAAACTGATCGCAATAATGTTATTGGTTGATTTTTTTTACCGAACTTACTTCTTACATCTTTCAAAGGGTATTGCAGTGACATGGCATTCGTCCCAGCAGAACTTGAAGGTATAGTTAGGCACTACAGCTGCTCTGACATGTACACAGACCGTTAAACAAGGTACAATATGTATGCATGCTTGCACTCCCATTAGATAGATGTATCCATGTACAGTAAGTGAATTGACTCGACTGCGAAGTATGTCTGCATAGGCTGCAATCTATAAAGTAGTCAAACGAATTCAAAGCTTTCTGAAATTGAGAATTACGAATAGACAGCTGTGCAGTATATCGATTTCACACAGGATGCTACGACCTTAAGTGGACGTAGACAGCAAGCCATGGGGACTAGCCTCCATGTGATGGTTTGGCGGTTTTAAAAGGGAAATCCGATCCGGGAATAAAATAAGACATTAGTGTGGCTCCAAACCTGCTGATAAGCCTTTTACTGCAGTAATTGTTGATCCTACTGACATTTACTTCATGTCAACAGGCACATGTAGATTGAAATATGTGAATATGCGATTCAGTCTGAACTGTAAAATGGGTCTGGCTAAGAGATCCTTGCGTCAGTTATTGCAAATAAATCTTTCTTCTAGTGCTTGTTTGCTATACTTTAACAGAAACGAAGGTTTCGTCTTGGACAGGCATGCTACCTACATTTGCTATATCTAGCTAGAATGGTATCAAGTAATTAAAATAGATGCTTTCGATGCCACATTTCTGACATAAAAACATATTTTGTTCAGTCAACAGTAGACATGTCTAAAACAGTCAATGACGAATCATTGGAACTTCACGAGGCAATACACTTTTACGGAAGTAGCATACTCGAAGATGAGTATCGTTATTTAATACTGTCGCGGATTCCAGTCGCTTCCTCTCTTAACCGTAAGAAAAGATGGGATCACAAGAATAATACAGGCAATGTCTCCCGTATTAAATTTCTTTGGGGGTTTGCAAAATATAATTGCTCATTTCTAGATAACTTTAGTTCGTCCTTAAAATTGTCACGTTGAGGATTATATGTCTTGACTTTCCTTTATCAGAAGACGCAGAGAGGATGATAAGTGGTCATTGAAGGTCGACATGGAGGCCAATTGCAAATTGGCTTCGAGAAGCCCACCTGAACACCTCCACCATGATTTACGAGTTCTCTCTGAGTGGACATGCCTCCACATCTCGCTCAACCAAATTTGGGTCCCTTGGGACTGAGCTGATATCCGAGGCATTAGCGTGGCTCAAATGTAAAAGATTCCGTGCTGATGTTGTCCATGCAATTAGCGCCTGTGTGCATATGCAGATTGAATAACCATAAATGTTAAACAATACAGACACATCTATGATATTGCTCTCTGTGTAATGCGTGTTCAGTAGACCAGGACTTGTGCTGACGTTTAATCACAATCGTGTTATGTTTGTCATGTTTCCTATCAATGAATGTTGCCCACGTAGTACTATTGGACAATCCTTGTCTCTTGTACGGCACACTCGATGCCATTTCAAATCTTCATGTAAATTGATAGCCCAGTGTGCCGGAAACCTAATTGTATAAAACCGAAATGGTGGTTTTAGAACTTGATCCTGATCCTGATCCTGATCCCCATCCTCATTTTGATTCTCGTTTGGGGGTCAGACTGTGAATGAATAACATTAACGGTCGAGTGGGGACGATCATTCACACACCTGGGTGTTAACGTCCCGATGCGTTGCGTGCCTGATTGAATTTTTTAACAGAGCCGGACCTTCAGCAGTGCCGTAGCCACTGGATTTTTTTTTAGAGAAAACAGTTTTATTTGAATCATTAAAATACAAGTTGGGGACAAGGATACTTGTACTAATATTTGCCTAGAACAGAACAGAACAGCTTTTTTATCTTCAAACCACCGGCGCTGCTATATAAGAGCAAACAAATGTACACATTAATTATTTATTATTAATATATATATTAATAATGCATGGATATATCATATATTATCTGGTTTGTGTTTTCTTACAACTTTCATGGATACATCTCTAGCGTTTGACAACCTCTTAAATATATGCAAAGACCATGTATTCTGGTAAGCAATTGATAAGTATACAAGACTATGTTTAGCAGAGACATATTTCCTTTTCTTAAGCGCTCTTTTCCATCCACTATGTGGTTGCTAAATGCGCACAATATGCAGTGAGAAGGCGGCAATAAGTGTTGCACTTGTGCCCCATCCTATTGCCGCTTTTGAGCAATAAAATATGTTTAAAGTAAACTAAGTTATATAAAACATAATGTCACTAGCACTGAAACGTCCCCACAAACAATAAATAAGTTTGATACCTTTCAATCCCATTCGATACCGTTCGTATTCTTCGTGTTTTGCTGAAAAGCAAACGCGTAATAAAAAGTTCCACTTACAGGTAAGCTTGGCCCTTTACCCTTTGAAATTCTGGGCAAAACATTTCGATAAAGATATTCTTGTCTGGAAGATTTCTCTAATGGCTTTCAGCAGACGGAATGTCTTAAATGTAAGGGTTTCTAAAATATAAGTTACTTTGTCTGGCTAAGAAAATAAAAATTACGGCTCATGTCCTTGATCATATGCAATGTAAAAGAAATTGTCTCGAAAGAGAGATGTAGAGACAGAAGATTTAATATCATTCTCTAAAATTGGTATCCAACTTTTTATAACTTTCTAAGGTCGTATTGATATATCCTTAATTTACGTACGTAGGACAGTCATCAGCATTTATGGTGATGCAGTGGATTTGTAAGGTAGAAAGGAGCAATGTATCCATAACATTGTTATTCAACCCGTGTGTCTGACGTAACAATATGGCATTGCAGAGAATCGGACTTGAGCCTCCGTTCAAGGCTTTTGGTGGTTCCACCTGCGTGGACACGAACAGTGACACGTTTGTCAACCCCCTGAGGCGGTTCGACTACTACTCGAAAGAGGCGTGTGAGAAGGAGTGTTTCTTTGATTACGTCATCAAAGTCTGCGGATGCCGACATTTTCTTCATCCAGGTAAGTGAGTGACGTGTGTGTTTAGGTGTCACATCTCAATACCTCTTCATAAGGAAAAGTCCGCAAGGATCATGAGGCACCTGTAGCACATGATTGTCTTCATAAGCAGGTGTATCGTAGCACACACGTACAACACTTCCAGACGCACAGGCAGATACCCTCACAACACATGTACACACAAGCATATGAACTGACATGGACATGTCTACATACATTGAGACGCCCATAACAATGTTCTTAACGATGGACAATAAAGATACGATATCCTATCAAATAGAACACCCAATTAGTAATTTGAAAATGATTTATTTAGATAACATGATATCAATATTATAAGTCGTCCAGCTTTGGTCACGTCATACATTACCGATGATTAATCCACTGCATGTTGTATTGGGATACTTTGACTCTCTACTCTACAGTCGTTTTTTCTGACTATGCAACTGGTGAGTGAACAGTGTGTCTGTGATGAATTGGTGCGTGTGGACACCCACTTGCAAGGACGAAACATTGTCCTTACAAACCCAGAATCATAATTAGAGCATTCGGGATTGAAACCCTGGATATGGCAGATGATATAAATAAAATAGTACACGTTTTAGTATGCACTTGGGAGTGTTCAAGAGTGGAACAGTGTTCGAGAGGAAAATCTAAGAACAGAGCGTTCTCAGGTTACAATGGCGATATCCCCATGGAGACCCGGTCTAGGTGTCCTGTGTCCAGGAAAGTCTGTTATAATTCAGCAAAAGTCCGTCAGCAGAAAAAGCAGAGTGTCACGGTGGTTAAAGGAACTCTTCAGAGTTATGTACGTTGGTCGTCGTGGGGCTGTGTTGCTTGCGGTCAATGCTTTCAAACAACAACTCAAGCCCCCCAGACACGCCATGATATTAATAAAATACTGATCAAAGCTGCGTAAAATCCTATTTGAAAACCCATTACAAGTATCTGTTGTCGACATTTGATCGAAAACCCTTTTTGCATTATTACTACAGGCATGATGCTTTTTATAATTAACCTTAACTTTATTTCGGATGCCACTGAGTTCTAAGTTGTGTTCCTGCAGGACCCATTTTTCTATTTTTCTATTTCAAGGACGAACACTGTGCAAAATTAATGAACGTTAAACAGTGTCTTTCAAACAGCTGCAAAGGTGAATGATACCAGCTTATGGCTGCCTGCTGTTTCCGTGCCGTATCTTATCCTTTGCCCCATAAAGTAGATAGGTTTTCTACAGAAATGTATTTTCTACCTAGGCAATGAGACGCTGTGTTCCATGGATCGACTGGCTGTGTGCTACAGGGCGGCTGAAGGTATGTTTTTAACATAATAACATGGAGAGTTTCCCAGTGTGTTACAAGTAGACTGACAAGAGGTATGCGTGTCAAAGATATTCCTACCAGAGAAGAAGCCATGTTTAATAATCAAATGTCGTTGCATTCTCATTGACATTTTATTATTAAACATGAGAAGGGCAGTCCATCAAATTGTGGACAAATGCCATTACGAGTATATATTGGTTCGGCGGGCATATGTACGTTGAATCCGTAATTTGAAACCGTTTTATATGTAGGATTTAATTAACCTCTCGTATTTGCTGCAAACAGAGGAAGATTAAAACAAACAAAAAACTCATCGTGAATGTGTTTTGTGAATTGACGACTTCATATTGTATACGCAGCCATTTTACGATTCGGACTAAATCATAAGCAGGTTCTTATGAACCATTATAAGGTGAGGTGAGGTGAAATTGGGTTTAACGTCGCGTCCAAGATTGCACTTATATAGCGACGTGCATGCATGTGTATGTGTGTGTGTGGCTGCTTGTACTAGTCCGGACTGATGCCGATTTATAGTGCTAGCTCACTGAGATACCATGCCGCAGTTTAACATGAATACCCCACTCAGACACAGTATACTGACTCCGAGCCGACCAGTCCTTGTTTTAGCCCCTTAATGCCGAGCGCCAGACAGGGTAACAACAAGTACAATCTTTTAACGTCTTTTTGTATGACGCGGCCCGGGATCGAACCCTGGACCTTCCGCTCTTCGGGCGGACGCTCTACCTCAATACCACGGAGGCGGTCGAACCATTATAAGATAGTGCTGTTCGCTGACACCTGGTGTTCGCTGAAAGCTGATCATACCCTGTCGCACCTGTGGTGTCAGTCACAAACACATACAAACATGTCATCTTATCACCTGAAGAGTAAGAAACCAAAAGTTCAGGTCAAAATAAGGAATGGCATCGGTCACATTTTGGCAACTGATGCGTCAAATTTGGAAATGTCATTTACATGTTTTGAAAACTTTATTCAGAATGATTTTTGCAATCCTGATGAAACAACCCTTTAGCGCTATCTACACCTGTTAATCCGCATGGCACCGTTCCGAGTAGATTAGGAATTAACGAATCGTGGCTACCGTGTCATGTATGCACCCGGAAAGCAACGTTGCGTGAGTGATGAGGTGACAAATGTAATGTCTCATCTGCACTTTCCTTCACTGTATGCAGTGTGACCACGTGTGATGGGCTGGCTTGATTGGTTAGTTTAACCTTGGGATAGGTGATTAGCATTGTTTTGTACGAGCCAGAAATAACACGGAAGTGTTTGTGGTAGGAAACTCACTTACTGCATTGTGAGATGTAATTTGTACTGAGTATTGATATATTCTTGCAGCTAAATACTACAGAGGGAATGGGGATAGAGATGTGGAAAAGGCTCCGTGTGTGTGTCCGCTGCCGTGTACGGAGACTCATTATGCCGCAGCTGCCACCTGCACCAAGTTCAGGGCAACCGACTTCTTCGAGAGTATAGTGTAAGAATGTCATTTTCAATTTCTCTGTGGGTTGCAAGTGAACATTTCTTGTTGAAATAACCATCTGTACGAATAATATTATGTTTGATGCAAATGTTTGTTGACAGCAAGACGAAAACGTGTAGAATGTAATGTTTTGCAAACAAAACGAGAAAACAAATTGGAAAGTGAACGGTAGGATTAGGCGAATCTTGTGTTTGAACATTTTGCCATCTGATGTAAGGCTGGGGCGTTGGGTTAAGCTAGTGACTAAAGCGTAACATCAAAGACCCGGGTTTCATTCCCCAATTTAGATGAATTAATATGTGAAACCCATATGATGTATCCCGCCATGACAGGGTTGTAACATGGTTCAAAACGGCGTAAAACTATACTCACTGACTTAGTAAGGATCTCTTTTCACTTCGACACAATACAATCTTCACTATCGTCATATACTGAATACTGTTTGTGATGTTTCTGTTTTCAATGAAACTCCATGTGATTTCTTATAATTGTTGAATGTTGTTGGATCCTCGTCTAACGTGTTTCTCTGTGCAATAACAGCTGTTTGACTTGACCCGTAAAGATCCGGGGTAGACTAGGTCTTTAGCGACCCATGCTTACCGTAAAAGGCGACAATGCCTGTCGTAAGAGGCGACTTACGGGATCAGGTGGTCAGGCTCGCTGACTTGGTTAATGCCGACTATGCCTGTCGTAAGAGGCGACTAACGGGATCGGGTGGTCAGGCTCGCTGGCTTGGTTGATGCATGTCATCGATCCCAATTGTGTGGATCGATGCGCATGATGTTAATCACTGGATTGTCTGGTCCAGATTCGATTATTTACAGACCGCCTTCATATAGCTGGAATATTGCTTAGTGCAGTGTTAAGCAACAAACAAACAGAATATGTTTTACTTCGCACATGTTTTAGTACTTCTGATATAGGTTCTAATAATTCGTCTCTCGTGACATTCATCACAGCCATGACCTGGGCGCGGATGTTGTGACGCTTCACTTCTTCTTCCCTGATCCTGTGGTCACGACCATTGAACAAGTCCCTATCTACACACTGCAGGGTCTGCTGGGTGAGTAGGCTAGGTTGAGATGACTACTCGGCTAAACGCCAGCATGAATGTACTCTTGGGTAATGCATGCCCCGTGACGTTTTCGGGGTGGATTTGGTCTTCAGCAACCTATGCGTGTCGTAAGAGGTGGTCATTCTCGCTGACTTTCTTGATGCATGTCATCGTATCCCATCTGGGTAGGTAGATGCTCATGATGTCAATCACTGGGTTGTCTGGTCAAAACCCTGATTGTTTACTAACCGCTGTCATATAGCTGGAATTATGCTGAGTGCGTTAAACAACAAACAAACAAGTACATATCGAAAAGCGTATCCGGCGTCAAATTGGTGTAAAAAACGATAACGAAATAGTACGTAGGAACCTTTGTTCATAACACTAATGTCGGCATTACGTCAGCAGTTGGTTCTGAATAATGTTCCTCGCACTAAATCCTTCTTACACGGGTGAGTCATATGAATAAGTATTACCTCGGTTATGGATAATAAATAATCATCTATGTAATGAAGATATCACCTACTTATTAGACGTATTACGCGGTTAAAACATATTTAACTCGTTTGAATGTAGCAGGCGTTCCATGAAAACAACAAGCTTGAATAAAAAATGCTGTTGATTAGAATTCCAGAGAGATATGCTTCCATGATTGGAAGCCTTTTTGCTTCGCACAAAATTTTGATTTAGTGACCGTGTTTCCATCGCTTCTAAGACATGGCAAGGTGAAAAGTAATACTAGTTACAGGTTCTTTTGCCTACAAATCGATGGATCTATTCACAGTGGAGTTACTGATATGCCCTGTGCGGTCGCAGTAATTGTATCATATTTCAGATGTAAAGTTGAAGATGGAATTGGAGAAGGCACGAACGCGTTAACATAATGGTATTACATGTGGGAATTCATTGTACCATTTTAATGCTGTAATTATCCATTTTGAAAATGAAGTAAAATAAGTCTCATGCGCCTGCAAGGAAAGTCGTCATTGTGTGAAGACAGTGATATATCTATTTCTATTTGTACAGGGTCTATTGGCGGTCAGGTTGGGTTGTTCATGGGCTTCAGCCTCATCACAGTTGCTGAGATGTTTGAGTTGATTTTCTTGCTCTGCACGAGAGGACGCCATCTCCGGGAAGAGCGAAGAGACCCCATGCAACATACATACGGGGCACGCCATGCCTTCTGACCAAACGCTGGCACCGCCACTGCCGTCTAGGAAAGTGACGGGACATCCATAAAAAGAGAGAGATGATATTTTGTTAAATGATGCTTTGAACGTCTTGTCTTTGACATTCTGCAGTAGAGACACACTTTACTTGACAGATGTGTCAAAGTTGTATATTGGCCGTGTACAAACGCCACATAGCGGAAGAACGCTTAACTTGTAGGATTCATACTTAAGCTTTTTAAGTTGATTGAGGGCCCCTCAAATACCCATCTGTTCTCAACGTCAGTTTGATCAGTTTACGTAACGACGATCAACAGCATGTGAGTGACATAGGACATATACTAGTATCACATCCTCGTGTGGGCTTTGGGGTGTTCCAAGGTTACCCATAGCTCCTTATGTATAATAATGTTTTTTGGACATTGTTAATGATGAACGGTCAAGATGAATGACCCTCATGGAATTACATGATAAAACTCTTTGTTGTTATTAGGGCTCCAAGCCGAAAGGCTGTAGAGCCCTATTGTAATCGTTCGATTTATTATTTATTAGGGCTCCAAGCCGAAAGGCTGTAGAGCCCTATTGTAATCGTTCGATTTATTATTTATTATTATTATTATTTATTATTCCGCCGTTTTTTGTTCCAGAGATAGCAGTTTAACCACTGGCTCGATTTTGTTCAAATTTTGTGTGTGTGTGCAAGTTGTTAGGTACCAGATACCACAAAAATTCCAAGGCCGTACGCCCTATGACCAAGGGCAGATAACTGAAAAACAAGTATTTTTTGAAGATATATTTCGCCTTATTGCTCCGCAACCGCTTGTCTGATTACTTTCAAACTTTACACATGTCTGCTGCTTAGGGTGCTTAACATTTTCTGTTCTTTGATCTTGGTCACTGGTCACGTGGTTTGGCAGCCATATTGGATTCAAAGTTTTTACAGGGTTTTGGGGGTACCTGTCTTCAAATCCTATCTCCTCTGAATCCAATGCATGAAATGCATCCAAACTTTCTGAGTACTGTCTCCATACATGTCACATCAAACTCTGTTAGCCGATTTTGGATATCTTATTTAGTTGCGACCATATTGGATTCAAGGTTTTCACAGGGTTTTTTGGGTACCTGTCTTCAAATACTATCTCCTCTGAATCCACTGCATGAAATGCTTTCAAACTTTCTGAGAATTGTCTCCATACATAACACACCAAACTCTGTTAGCCGTTTTTGGATATCTGTCTTAGTGACGGCTCTGTTCGATTTTGGTTTTGATGATTTCTTTCACCGAATTTTTCCTTTATATAAAGATCACATCTTGTAAGGTTCTCCACAGAAACTATTGAAAGTTTACATGAAGTTAGTGTGTCATATGTACCTCATCTTTTGTTCTTGGTTGCATGCTAAAAGTAACACCGCCTGGTGTTAATATTGACAAAATACCGAAAACATCGCTCAGAAAACTCAGGATTATTTCCCTTTGACCGTCAAGTGTCTTTTGCAGTATGTATACTACCCTTGAAGATCAGGGTTAGAATTGGTCTTCAGCAACTCATGCTTGTCTCAAGAGGCGATTATCGGGATTCGAACATTGTCTGGGTGGTAAATGGGTTAAGAACACTCTGGTTAACTCTGGCACACACCAATTTCGTAGTGGTGATGTCCTGCAAATGGTGACTATCTTTTGACGCAGTTGGTACAAGCAAACCCTTTGAGGATTCGAACATGAGGATTCGAGGTCGGAAATGGGTTAAGAACACACTGGGACATATGTGGGGATGTCTCACAAACGGTTCCTTACGTTTGACGGCGTTGGTACAGGCAAACCTTATGCGGATTCGAACATGGTCGAAGTCAAACATGGGTTAAGAACACACTGGGACACATGTGGTGATGTCTGACAAGCGGTTCATTACATTTGACGGCGTTGGTACAGGCAAACCATTTGAGGATTCGAACATGGTCGAAGTCAAACATGGGTTAAGAACACACTGGGACACATGTGGTGATGTCTGACATGCGGTTCATTACATTTGACGGCGTTGGTACAGGCAAACCATTTGAGGATTCGAACATGGTCGAAGTCAAACATGGGTTAAGAACACACTGGGACACACGTGGTGATGTCTGACAAGCGGTTCATTACATTTGACGGCATTGGTACAGGCAAACCATTTGAGGATTCGAACATGGACGAGGTCGGAAACAGGTTTAGCACTTTATCTCAGCAATACGACATAAACCCGGGGCCCTGACGAACTCAGAACGCTCCTCCATTTGACTGGAGCTCAACTGACAAATAAGTTACAGTCTGGTTCAGAGTCACCAAGCCGAAAAGCTGAAGCGTCCCAGTGCTATCGTTCGATTTAATATTATTATTATTCCGCCGATTTTTGTACCAGAGCTAGCATAGTAACCACTGCCTCGATTCCATTCAAATTTTGTATGTGTATCCAGATACTTACGTACCAGATACCACACAAATTCCAAGGCCGTAGGCCCAAAGACCAAGGGCAGATAACTGAAAAATAAGCAATTTTAAAAGCTATATTTTGCCCTATTGCTTCGCAACCGCTTGTCCAATTACTTTCAAACTTTAGATGTGTCTACTGCTTTGGGTGCTTGACATTTGATGTCCTTTGACTTTGGTCATTGGTCACGTGGTTTGGCAGCCATATTGGATTCAAGGTTTTCACAGGGTTTTTTGGGTACCTGTCTTCAAATCCTATCTCCTCTGAATCCACAGTCTGAATTGCATCCAAACTTTCTGAGAATTGTCTCCATACATTATGCATTAAACTCTGTTAGCCGTTTTTTGGATATCTTTCTTAGTCATCGCCCTATTGGATTTTGATTTTGATGATTTTTTTCACCGAAATTTTACTTGAAAGATCATATCTTGTAAGGTTCTCCACAGAAACTATTGAAAATTGACATGAAGTTAGTCTGACATGTATACCTCATCTTTTGTTCTTGGTTGCATGCTAAAAGTAACACCGCTTCGTTGTAATATTTGATCAATATTTGGGACACCCCTGGGACACCCCTGGAACACGCCAATTCGTAGCAGCGATGTTAGGTGACAATTTTTGAACGGAGTTGGCACAGGCAAACCCTTTATGGATTCGAACATGTTCGAGGTCGGAAATGGTTTTAGAACAGACCTGTACACCCTGGCACACGCCAATTTCCTAGCTACGATACCCTGCAAGTGGTGCCTACATTTGACGGATTTGGTTCAAGGAAACCCTTTGAGGATTCGAACATGGACGTTTGGGCACAGTGTTACTTGGAGCCCGCCATTGCTGCTTGCAGCTTTAATTAGGGCTCCAAGCCGAAAGGCTGTAGAGCCCTATTGTAATCGTTCGATTTATTATTTATTATTATTATTATTATTATTATTATTATTATTATTATTTATTATTCCGCCGTTTTTTGTTCCAGAGATAGCAGTTTAACCACTGGCTCGATTTTGTTCAAATTTTGTGTGTGTGTGCAAGTTGTTAGGTACCAGATACCACAAAAATTCCAAGGCCGTAGGCCCAATGGCCAAGGGCAGATAACTGAAAAACAAGTATTTTTTGAAGATATATTTCGCCTTATTGCTCCGCAACCGCTTGTCCGATTACTTTCAAACTTTACACATGTCTGCTGTTTAGGGTGCTTAACATTTTCTGTTCTTTGATCTTGGCCACTGGTCACGTGGTTTGGCAGCCATATTGGATTCAAAGTTTTTACGGGGTTTTGGGGGTACCTGTCTTCAAATCCTATCTCCTCTGAATCCAATGCATGAAATGCATCCAAACTTTCCGAGTACTGTCTCCATACATATCACATCAAACTCTGTTAGCCGATTTTGGATATCTTTTTTAGTTGCTGCCATATTGGATTGAAGGTTTTCACAGGGTTTTTTGGGTACCTGTCTTCAAATACTATCTCCTCTGAATCCACTGCATGAAATGCTTTCAAACTTTCTGAGAATTGTCTCCACACATAACACACCAAACTCTGTTAGCCGTTTTTGGATATCTGTCTTAGTGACGGCTCTGTTTGATTTTGATTTTGATGATTTCTTTCACCGAATTTTTCCTTTATATAAAGATCACATCTTGTAAGGTTCTCCACAGAAACTAATGAAAGTTTACATGAAGTTAGTCGGGCACATGTATCTCATCTTTTGTTCTTGGCTGCATGCTAAAAGTAACACCGCTTGGTGGTAATATGGACAAAATACCGAATACATCGCTCAGAAAACCCAGGGTTATTTCCCTTTGACCGTCAAGTGTCTTTTGCAGTATGTAAGCTGCCCTTGAAGATGAGGGTTAGAATTGGTCTTCAGCAACCCATGCTTGTCTTAAGAGGCGATTATCGGGATTCGAACATTGTCTGGGTTGTAAATGGGTTTAGAACATTCTGGTTGACTCTGGCACACGCCAATTTCGTAGCGGTGATGTCCTGCAAACAGTGACTATCTTTTGCACGAGTTGGGACAGGCGAACCCTTTCAGGATTCGAACATGAGGATTCGAGGTCGGAAACGGGTGAAGAACTCACTGGGACACATGCGGTAATGTCTCGCAAACGGTTCCTTACGTTTGACTGCGTTGGTACAGGCAAACCTTATGCGGATTCGAACATGAGCGACGTCTGAAATGGGCGTAGAACATCACGGGACGTTCTGGGACACGTCAGTTTCGTAGCGGCGATGTCTCGCAAGCGTTTCCTTGCTTTAGACGGCGTCGGTACAACCAAACCATCTGGGGATTCGAACATGGACGAGGTCGGAAACAGGTTCGGGTTCGGCACTTTATCCGAGCAGTGCGACAGAAAGCCGGGGTGCTGGCGAGCTCGGAACGCTAATCCGTTTGTCTGTAGCTCAATGGACAAAGGAGCTACGCTCATTCTTCTCCCGGACTATTTGACCCCCTGTCACAAAGTGCCACCCGGCCTGTCGGCCTGTCACCCTGCCAGCCACCCACCCTGCCTGTCACCCTGCCACAAGCTGCCGTACAGCAGACCTCTGAATGGCAGACCTTTGAACACTTGTAACTCGGAAACTACTGGTCCGATTTCGACCAAATTTCCTGTGTAGATTGGGATTGTCCAGTTTATTATTGTAATCCTGTTGTCCTGTTGATATCTTTCGATTTATTAGGGCTCCAAGCCGAAAGGCTGTAGAGCCCTATTGTAATCGTTCGATTTATTATTAGGGCTCCAAGCCGAAAGGCTGTAGAGCCCTATTGTAATCGTTCGATTTATTATTATTAGGGCTCCAAGCCGAAAGGCTGTAGAGCCCTATTGTAATCGTTCGATTTATTATTATTATTATTATTATTATTATTAGGGCTCCAAGCCGAAAGGCTGTAGAGCCCTATTGTAATCGTTCGATTTATTATTATTATTATTATTTATTATTATTATTTATTATTCCGCCGATTTTTGTACCTGCCCTAGCAAAATAACCACTGACTCGATTTTGTTCAAATTTTGTGT